TCCCGAATTTCACACACTGTGTTCAACTCCCAGACTCATTTGACTCAGCCCCAAGCCCGACATAACGACTACACTCCGTTGGGCGCGACCAATATCCTTTTCACTTTTTTTTCCTCTTTATTTTCCTCTTTATTTTATTATTCGTATTCCCCTCTCTGTCTTTCCTCTCTCGGCTGTTACATTCACTTCCGCCAAGTCCGACAGGCCTGCTCATCCACTGGTCCGTCACACCTTGCTCGTTTGAGCCATTATTCCAGTTGTTGAACGCTCAACTCGGTATTCTTTCGATACTTCACTTGCTCGCTTTTTTTGTCTTTCAATTCCCGTTGCTCTGCTCGCGGCCAATGAATTTTATTATTAAACGAGTCAATCAAATCTCCAGCAGGGCCATCGGCCTCCTCTGCCACTCAGTCTACCAACAATTCCGTCTCCTGAGTAACCAACACTCTGGGAATTTACGGGTGGCCCGATAAATGTAGAGATGTAGTTATTATGGGTCTGTATGTTGTGGCACTGAGTGTGCGCAAAACTCCTCCCTGCAATCAATATCTCTGACCCTCCCAGTTTTACCACTACCATTCCTCATTATTGTGTACCCTCAGTGCCCCACTGATAGCCCTCCTATTCCAATGCAGAATCAAGGAATTATTAATGCCCTTGGCTATCAATGACAGCTGACAATTGAATGACATTTCAGTTGCCAGGGGCATTCGTCAGGTTTAAATGCCCTCGTTTGTGGGGCGAGGAGGGGGGGGGGGTCTGTCGAGAAATCGTTTATTATGCAGCATCTGCTAATTGGAGAGGTCCGGGGGGTCACTCGGGGTCTAATGATGAAATAACAGTGTCCCCATTGTTGGGTAAAATGCTCGGGATGATGGGGACATCAAACCAAGGATTTTTCAGGTTCTAGTGTCACCGGTGCTTGCTGGACTCGCTGTTGGCATTGGCGTGCCTATTCTACTGTTTTATGTTTATGGAGTCGTACCCGTGTCACTCTGCAGAAGTGGCGGCTGCGGGGTGTCAACCAATGGCTCCGGAGTCAGATTCGAGTTTGATGATGAGAATGAACTCATGGGGGCACTCTCTGGAAGGAATGTTGGAGGTAAATATATTGTTTATTTTTAGGGGATTTTTTCTTGTTTTTTTAGCTGAAAATTGATTTTTAGTGGTATTTTTGTTATTCTTATTGTTGTTGGATTGAAATTACTTCTGTAACTATTGGTGGGGAGAAATTCTCGTGGTTTTTTCGGCTGCAATTGGTCTTCGTCTTGTTATGAAATCCAGGAAATTGACTGGGAGTTCTTGGCGAGGAATTTTTTTAGAAGAAATGTGAACAGAATGATTTAATCGGAAAAATCAATATCTGTTGGATTCTCCGATATTAAGAGAATTCGAAATTTACAAATAGGAAAATATTTGACAATCTATATTTTCGATTGAATGTGAATTAAATAATTGATATGAATATCAATATAATACGGAATTATGTGGAATTGTAAATTGTCAGTTGAGTAAATAATCCTAAATTTCATAAACAGGATTTTCGGTTCATTTTCGACCAAACAATCGTCAATCTTTCTGACTAAATTCTTGATTGATGAAATAATTCGGGATTTGAATATTTATTGATGATTAATTTAATAATTAAAAATTGTAGAAGAGCATCAATGAATTGACTACTTCAACTCTTCGAAATTATCACAATTTTTCAAAACCTTCATATCTTCTTCATTTTGCAAAATGAAAAACGATCGTCATTAGATGTCCCAATTTCAAACAAACCTTTCATCCTGCAAACAATTATCCAATGAAATCCCTCAATTCGCCTGCAATTACTTAAATTCAACGACTTTAGCTAACGTACACTCCAAGTAATCCCAATCCTTTTCCCACTGAGAATTTCTCCTCGTAAAATCCAATTCCAATTTTAATCACAAATTTCCCCAACCCAAATCCGACCTTTCAATGCATTCATTCTGCCGATGAATCCGAATGAAAATAAAAACCGAGTCCCCACAGCCGGTGAAACCCACTGAGCCAATCTCCCCCCGATTACACAGCCCATTGGCATTTCTGCCGCAATCTCATTTATTTTTACCCAGATGCAGCATCGATAGACGTTGCAAGCCACCGAGGTGGAAACCCCTCGATCGGCGAGGCCTCCCTCTCCCTGGGTAGTGGAAGTCAATTGGAAAAATTGGGACGCGAGAATGATCGAGAGAGTGCAAGTAACGTGGCACTTGCTGGTGCAAGTTTGGCTGGCAGTATAGCCTCCAGTGTCCTGCCTGGTGGTCAGAGGCTCGAGGTCCAGGCTGACGTCACATCCACCCAGCGCTTCAGTCTGTGCAGCGAGACAGCGTCAGCCGCCACTAGTCTCTCCGAGAAATCGGTTAATGCATCGATAGCTGCTGACGACGGCGGTGCATCCACCAGAGCACTGGCTGGCTCAGTGCTCAATTTCAAGGTGGACAGTTGCTCGATAAGTGGAGGGAGGAGTGTCGATAATGAACCTGCTGCTAATCAAACGACCCCTGTGGACTCGGCTGGGCAGGCCGCCTCGCTGAGTTCACTGGAGGAGATACAGCCTGGGCTGGCCAAGAGGGCCAGGAGGAAACCCACCCTCGACAGGCAGCACAGCGACTCCAGCAACTGGGCGGCTTCTGGGGAGGACGGAAATTCCGAGCGGGTGAGGTTCGATGATCACGTCAGCTTCATTGAGGCCCATGAGGAGCCCGGCAACTGCAACAGGGCGCAGGGGAGGAGGAAGAGGAATAAGGAAGGGGATGCTGAAGGTGATGTGATAAGGACTAGGTATTTTTTATTCCTTGGACATGATGCTGCGAAGTGGTGAAAACGATTGTCAGGTGGAGGAATAATTGGGGTCACTGATGGGGGAATTATGGGTATCGCTGCGGCTGCAGATTTTTCAACGGGAAAAGTTGGGTGCTTGGGGAGCCACTCGAGTTCTTCGAACATTCTGTTGATTTAGGCGACTGTGGATCGAGTATTTTTGGTTCGGTGGAATGGAGAATTGGGGGAGAGACTGGTCCAAGTGTTTCTTGAGGGGAATTTTATGTTGAGGAAAAATCAATATGTCAATTTTTTTTATTAAAAATTTTTTTATGTATAATGAAAAATTCTTAATTGTTGATTTTTCATAAAATTGAATAGAATTTCTCTAAAAAACGTCATATTTTTCTCAAATTTTTTCATATGTGAAATTCACATAAAATTTTGTGTTCAGGAATTCCTAATGAAAATGTCAAAATGAAAATACGGAAAAAATCAAAATTTATCATTTTTAAAAAAATGAAATATTAAAAAATAAATAAAATGGTGAGGATCATAAAATCGAAAAAATTAGTAGAATTTTCCTGGGATCGTTTTACCACTTCACTCCTGAAATTGAAGCTCCTCGCCTCAACAAACTGATTTGATTGATTGATATTGAATTTCAGAAATGGCAACGATGAAGATAACCCAACAGAAGATAGTAATTCCCGTGCAAGGGTGAACGTGGCAGCATTGAGAATTGTATTTTTTCATAATTCATCATCAGGTGAGAAAAGGCTGCCAGTAATAGAGGAGCCGGGCTCCTCAACCCAACCCTCAACCGTAGTTCGTATTTCAACACCAATGAATAACAACGAGACAAATGAAACTCATGCTGAGGGAGACGATAAACTTCACTGCTGAATTAAAAATATTATAATAAATAACTGAAGACTGACAAACGCGCATGTAAACGTAATTATACTATTATAATTATATTATACACATATGGAGTTTATTGTCAAGAGGTCATTTGAGGGAAAACAGTTTGGGGGAGATGAATTTTTATTAAAGTTTTAGAGTGGAGAAAGGGATGGACATTATTTTACTTTTTGGAGAGAATTTCTTTCCCTGAATAATTTCAATGTTCAGTTGTTGGATTATATTCGAATGAATTCATTGATTTTCACTCCATATTCAACATTTTTTCCCCTCAGAATTCAATAACAAGTTATAAAACCCACGAAAATGTGGAATTGCGATTGAAAAAACATGTAAAATAATCTTGCGCACAGTGTACATTGGATGTGGGGTACACTCTAAATATAAACGAAACTAATGGATATTATTTTACTCGTTTGGAAACAATTTCCCTGAATAATTTCAACGTCTCAGTTGTTATATTCGGATTATATTCGAACGAATTCGTGGATTTTTCCTCAGAATTCAATAACGAGAGATAAATCCCACGAAAACGCGAAATTACGAACGAAAAAGATGCAAAATGCTGTAAAATCATGTTGCGATGAGAAAAAAATACACCTAAAGTACATTATTTTACACATGTGGAAGCAATTTCTTTCCCCGAATAATTTCAATGTCTCAGTTGTTGGATTTTATTCGAACGAATTGATGGATTTTCCCTCAGAATTCAATACCAAGAGATAAAACCCACGAAAATGTGGAATTACGAATGAAAAAACACGCAAAATGCTGTAAAATCATCTTGCGATGAGAAAAAAAATGCGCTTGATTGCTCAGTGTACATTGGAAGTGAGGGTACACCGTAAATAAATGAAATGAAAATAGCTGACGCGCTCTTTGTATAAAAATAAATGCTTTACATGGTGTATACAGAAAATTTGATCCGTTCGACGTCAATGAATCCGTGTCTAATAATGGAAAAAAACGATAAATCGTTGAACAAGATGTAGACTAAGTGAAATTTTTTTGAGATAAACATTTGAATGAATTTGATGATTAATTAAATTAGTCGCATGTATTCATCAACGAATAACGAGTACATGAAATACGTGTGTTTACATTATCTCCAAGAGCAGCATTTTTTAATCTTTCCTCGAAAGCTTCCAAGTTGGAGTGAATGAGACACGAGTGGTGATTACCCTCGATGGACAGTAGAAATTAGGGTTTAAGGAATTTTTCTTGTTTTTTTTTTATGGTAACACTGATGGAAAGATGAGAATAAATCAGTACTGATCTTGCTCAATGCCGATTGAGGAACAGGGTGAAGAGATATAGACGAAAGTTACGAAGAAAAACTACTTTAAGGAGATCCCAGGGGCATCTAAAGTTGAGAGTGGATTAGAAAATTTGAAGTTTTTTTTGACGTGATTAATATGCACTCTGTGTTGTACGATCCCCATTTTTCGTCGATAGGATAGAAAAATGAACTGATTTCACTTTTTTATTATTCAATAAACAACTCTGTTCGTCGATTTATCGAAGACAATTTTTTCCCCTTTGTCAACACTTTAGACTTATTGAATTAAAATTCACAGCATTTTTAAACAATGTCAATTCTGCGATGGATCTCCTTAAAATTATTGGTGACCCTAATTTACATTAGAGTTTACACGATGCCAAACGATTTTAAATTACATTTTTGATACAATTTATTGTTTACTGATCCCACGACGAGAGAAATTGTTATTTGAATTTGTGTTGATTCTGCTCTTGCATAAAACTGCCATACACGTTATGAATTACCTTGCAGGAATATTGTTGTATATTTGGGGGTATGAGTAACGTGAAACAATTCCATTCTGGGGATAATCCCGAACGAAAAAGCTAGTAAGCATTGGGTTTAGTGAATTTTCGTGCATCGCGCTCTCTGCAGAATGCGGGCAGCTCATACAATTGGGAATTAAGATTTGGTGATGTTGCTGAGCCTAAACGTTAGCTTACTGTCGTCGTTGAGAGCTCTGGATTAAATATTTAGGGGGAAGAGAGGGAGAGGTTGGATAATATAACTTTTTTCCTGTTGATAGAGTGAATGAATTCACACGATTAAAATATGAAATTTGTATTACAGTATAGAATATGGGATATAAATAAAATCGAGATATTTAAGTGAAATGCGAGTGTTTATTGAATTATATTTTTGCGTAAAAGTAATTTTCCGCATTTTTTTTTAAAATTAATTATTTCCATTTTTTTTCTAATGGATTATTATTTTTTTAATGAATATTAAAATAAACTTTCATTTTTTCTAGCTTCTTGAAATGTTGAGGAGTCAAAATGAAAAATAATTTTTAAATTGATTTTCATTCATAAATTATTTATGAAAAGAATTTACACTTTTCAAAAAATGAAATTTTTCAGTTATTTAGTGAATTCTTCTGAAAAATGACAGTTTAATTTCTTCAGATTTTTAAAATACTTCTTAACAATTTTACAATGGAGTCTGATTTTTCGATTTTTTTCATGTTGATAATTAATTATTATTTTATGATATCCTTTTGTTAAAAGGGATTCCAACGAAAAATAAGATCCAAAGTACTAGGATATCCTGAACATTTAAACATTTAAATCTTAACGTAATATATGAAAATTATTTATTACCTAATTGAATTTACAGTGACCTACACAAATATATAGGTGATTTCTTCATGAGTTCGTCAACTTTGAGTTTGAATAATTCACTCTGGATGGGCTCATTCATCTGAGCTACTGGGTTTTTAACAACGTACGGTACATAAACCTGAAAATTAAATAAATTGGCACAGCTGATTTGATAATCAGAATCAACAGATGAAGTAATTTAATTGGTTGATTAATTTACCTGGGAATAAAGTTGTTGGAGTAGTTCTTTCACATTCTGCGCCCCATTGTCCGTGTTCAAGACGAATTTCAAGCCTGAGGGTGTCTCCAAATAGTGCAAAGTGTATTTGCTCGTTTTATAGTACTGGAATCCTTCCTTGGAGTCCAGGGGAGATATTTTGTTGACGAACGACTTTATCGAGAACAGCATTCCGTACATCAACTTGGCTTCCTGGAGAATTTTTCGTGATGAGAAGTAGAGATAAGGTAAAATGAACACTTTAGACTTTTTTAAAATTATTCATAACTCACAAACTAATTTATCAATTGAGCTCAGTTTAGGCTCGCCATAAAGGGAAAGAATTGTGCTTTGTATTGAAAAAAAATTATTTATCAACATTTCGACCCCTCATTAACATTTAAAAAACGTCAAGTGTCCGTTTTACCCCAACCTCCCCTATATCATTATTTTGGGGTGAATATTTTCTCCATCATTAATCCATCTTGGATTATTTACATAATTTCATTCGAGTATTATTTACATATGAACTTCGGTTTTTCTGATAACTTGCATTTAGTTGCTATGAACGTATTTTTAAATTTTTATTTTTTCGGGTGGATGTTGATGGAATTTATACTGAACCTCCTCTTTTGTGATGCCAGACTTATTGAGTCTGTTCCACTCGTCATAATACAGCAATGTCCCTGTTCTCGAGAATATGTACAAATTGTGAACTGTCATTTTGTGGTCGTGCAGTCGTGCTGTGATTGCGAGTTGTCAAACACCTCAACCACTTCGCAACTGTCAAATTTTTTGAGGTTAGTGTGTTCTCATGGATATGCAGCAACAGCTGTTGTCGCTCTTACATGAAAATGCGTCTCAACCCTTTCAGTAGAGTGAAAAATTTGAATTTTTCTTAAATTTCCGAGTGAAATCCCTGACACACTTCTCAGAATTTTTATTAAGTCATGGCTTCACTGGAACTTAAAAGAATTTAGTAGTTGAAAATCCAATTTGATGGAAAAATAAAGACAAACTATAAATTCAAATTCAATTATTCCATCCAAACTCAGGAAAATTTACTGTGGAATTTTCATTAATTTCCAAGTTGTGAAATTCTCATTTTCCTCCAGCAGAAAAATTTGGAATTCCATTGCATTCCATTCCATAACTCTTCAAAGATTATTCAAATTCTCTCGTCACAAATATTTGCGATTTCTCACGACACGGCTATTTACAGCCCCCGATATCACAACGAAAGTATTAATACAACTGCAAGATATTTCCAACTGCGTAAAACAGGAAAGGGGAGATAAAAATTCGCCTGAATTATGGAATGACTAACGCCTGATAAAAAATGAATCACCAATTATTTTTTTATTGATCACACATGCTCCCTTAATCCTAAAAATACAATCACTATTTTCCATACAAAAATGCAATTAAAGTAATTAAAAGTACGAGCCGTTGAACGACTAAAAGAATGCGAGCTTGTAATCCTCAATCAAGAATGTTCATGCGTCATGGAATCATAAGAAAATAAACGTCACTATATCACGCCTTGAATGATTTCGAGAGAGTAGAATAGAAAAATATGAACCGTCCAGACAACACTCATCACATTTTGCTACGTGGAGTATCGGCCAGATTATTAAACGAGGGGGTAGCTAGCTGAGGTGGCGATACCGCACTGATTATTCTTGTTACGAGACATCTTGATGTATCCCTTCTCACCCCAGGAGGGTCCCCAGCTGTTCTTGACAAGCCAGTAATCTCCACCCTTCTCGTCTGTTCCATATCCAACGATGAGGACTCCATGATCCAATTCTTCACTCGAACACTCAGGCTCGTCGTAAACACCTGCAGAAATCGACATATCAGCATTATTATTTTTTAATTCTTTAATTTTCAATTCTTAATTTTATTTTTATTTTTTAATTCTTCAATTTTTCATTTCTGCAATACGAAGTTGAAATGTATCGACCTGAAGTTAATAATAATTGAGCAGAAATATAATTGTATAAAGGGGTAAAGATAATTGGTGAAATTCCTGGGGCAATTTCATTATCAGAGGAACAGAAATATCATTTTAAGGATTTTAGTGCTCTACTTTTTTTTAAAATAGAGTCCTTGAATATTTTTAGTTGAACATTAGAGCTTTCGTTTGAGCCCCATTTGAACCTATGCTACCGAAAATGAGACAGTAATTGAATAATTTAATGTTGACGGTCTGAATTTGAATCTCAATCTGATGAATTTCCCAATTTTTCAAGGTTTCTCATTAATAATTCACAAAAAAATTAAATTTCATAATAAATTTTCAGAAAGTTTAACCATTTTTATTATCCATGCATAAATACTATTAAATATTTCGGAATATTTTAAATATAAAGTAATTTTTTGTAAAATGTAAAAAAATAACTTCAGTTGCATGAAATTATTTCAAAAGATGGAATAATGGATTTGTTATTTTGTGACGTACCTTCGGAGTAGAATTGGAATGACTGGTGTGACGCATCGATGGCAATGGAGACAGGACCCACAGTGGCAACAGCTGCCTTCAATTTCTGCTCATCGCCCTGTGGAATGTCGACGAAACCAACATCTTCAGCTCCACTATTTCGTGGATTGTACCTGCATTTCTCGTCCTCTCCGTCATATGGATAAGTTTTCTCAGTGTCTAGACCGCGGTTGGCCTTGATGTACTGGAAGGCCTGGTCCATGAGACCTCCCTCACAGCCATTGTTTCCGTATTTGCCGGAGCAATCGACCAGATTTTGCTCGCTGAGGGAAACGAGGTAACCACTGTGTCTGAAGTGCTGACCTTCCAAGCTACCGGTCTAAAAAAAAAATAATGGTCGATACAAAGGACTCGTTAATTGTGATTCAATAGGGAAATGAAAATTTTGATGAATTCATTCAGAAATTGAGTTGAGTCTATTCTAAAGGCGAGGGGTTTGATTTTATTTTTTAATTGAGTCATTTTGCTATTTCTTAGGTAATTAATTATCTTTTTGAAAGGGGATTTACGAGGAAAATGCCAAGAGATCGTTCTCGAGGCTGAGAACATTCCTAACTAAAAATGATTTATGACAGATAATGTAGTTTTGAAAATGGTTGATACAAAGAATTAATTAATTCGTGATTCAATGGAGAAAAAATCTGAATCCAATCATCAGTAAGACAATTATTAGGAATTCGTGAATGATTCTATTTTTCAATTGAGTCATTCTGTCATTTCTCAAGTAGTAAATTATCTTTTTGAAAAGCGATTTAAGAGGACTATGGTAAGAGGTCTCTTTCGAGGCTGAGAAAATATCCGACTAAAAATGATTCATTTCAATTGAGTCATTTATCCACTCATTAATTATTAAGTTATCTCGGTTACTGAGAAGACCTTCAGTCGAGATAATTTTCAACAAAGAGTCTGACATTTTCTGTTAATCCTACTCAACACCGAGGATGAGCCCATTAGAAATCCCTTGATGTTCCATTCTAATCGAGTAATTCCGACATTTATGAGCTGTCCAATCATCCTCATAAGAACTGATTTTACAGGAGAATGACAAGAGACTTTTCTAACGGAAAACAATTCAGCAAAAAACATTTCAACAGTTTTCTCAAAATCAATTTGTTATCATCCTTATCAAAATGAAATGCTTAATCATCAGAACTTTAATTTAGTGCCATTCTAATTGAGTCATTATCTCATGTAATTGTTCAATTAAATCAATAGTTGAGAGATAAGTTTCATCGAGATAAGAATTGCTAGCATTTGATAACACGTGATGAAGTGACTCATCTTCAGAATAAAAGGAATAACAAAAGCGAATACGTACAGCTGAGAAAGCCCAGCACGATCCACAGTGGCCTTGATCTTTCACAGGTGTAACTGCGCCATGCTCTCTCCAGTCAACAGTCTTCGGGAGTTCAACGTGAGCTGGTTCGATGAATTTCGCTCCAACGGGTTTCCTGCTCTCCTTCAACCCCATTTTCCCCGTCTTGTTGAAGCCATTCAATGCGTGGACGAACTCATGATGCAACTGGAAATCAAACGGAATCAAAATTGCAGTAACTGGAATTAAAAATAATTTACAGTAGTTGAAATTCAGAGATGAGTTTTAAACGTAACCATTCAATTTCTCCAATCTATTATCTCGAATGAGTTGACGACAGAATGTTAAAAAGAAAAAGTTTCGTGACATTACTAATTACCTCGATAATTCATATTTGATCGAGCACGTTCAATTATAATTAATCTCTGTTGAAAAATGTTCAACTGAAATTTCCTATAAATTGATGAATTTTCAGATTCATCACAAAATTAATCAATTAATTGATCAACCTATTTAGTCAATAAAGTTTATTTTTATTACACATTAAAGTTGATATATCTCGTGGCACAATAAATAATTACTCATTCCTTCTAAAATGAATTAATACGAATTATCGGCGATAAATTGTATGAAAGGAAATATTTGTTGAAAAAAATGATGACTGAACGTCAGAGATTCAGGTTGAATAAATAGCTCACCATGTCTCCATATTTATTGATATCGAGTTTGTACGACACAAGCCCCTGCTCGTACTTGGCATTGTGCTTGGCTATTGTGTGCCTGTTCTCCATGAATATCTTCAGTCTGAACTTCTCCTCGACGTCACTCTTGTAATTCTTCCCGTGTTGAAGCTGAACACAAAAAAACAGTACAGGTATTCAAGAAAATCCAGAGACCCCGCATAATTCTATCGACGATTCTACCGCCCATTCTAGAAACTCAAATCGCTTTGTTACCTTGAATGTGCCCCATTCCTGGACCACAAGGTCGTAGAACGAAACAGCCTGGGCAGTGGCGAGCAATGCCACGACGACAATAAGACTCTTCATTGTGTCACCGATTCCCTGAAATCAATAAAACGCATTTTTTCTCCGCAGAATGGAAAAGACAGGGGGAACAGGGATTCGCGAAGTAATTACGCTGGTTTCCTGGAGTGAGTCACACCCAGGCCTTGTTCGCAAGTGGGAAAAAAGTGGTACTCTTGATTTTTTAAAAATGTTATTGACTTATTTCATTTTCAATGCAACTGAATTATTATCATTTTTTTTAGAATTCATTCATTCATTCATTTTTTTTATTCTTCTCCTTTGATTACAATCGATGAATTTGTTTCTGAAGTAGGAGAAATTATTTTTTAAGAATCAAATAACTTTTTAAAAATGTTATTGACTTATTCAATTTTCAATACAACTGAATCATTACAATTTTTTTTTTAGAATTCATTCATTCATTTTTTTTATTCTTCTCCTGTGACTACAATCGATGAATTTGTTTTCTGAAGTAAGAGAAAGTATTTTTTAAGAGTCAACTGTTGGTTTTGCCCCTCCCCTGTCGCGTCGTAAACCATATGCACACCTTAACAACTCGAGGAAAAAAGTGCTAGGACTAATAACACTGGAGTTAAGAAATTCCGAAGGTTGTTTGAAATCTTGTAAAAGTAATAGCGGATTGCGTGGACTGTGATGTCAACAACTGCGCGTAATAATGAGGCGTCAGTGCCTCTGAAAATTGCTTTTCTTCGTCAAAATACGTCGCTGAGGGGATTGAATTTATATTCCGAGCTCCACTGATCCACTGAATGGATGAATTAAATGGGCGTACACTGAGAAAAAAAATTACTTCTGCCAAGTAAATTTACTTGCCACAAGTAAATGTATATAAATATTTGCATTAGAAATGTGTGAATTTTCTTGTAATTAGTAAATTTACTTGGCAAAAGTAATTTTTTTTCTCAGTATAACAGCGGTAATGAACTAATTTTCAAATATTTCCTGTCCCAATGGTGGGATTTGAATAAATCAGATCTGCGATGTCAACAAAGAAGAATAGTACACGAAGGGGCGTTATTTGTCTCACTCACGACTTCTACATATTTCAGTATTCAATGTAATTGCGTCAATTAATAGTCGAAGGGATGTAATGAATATTTTCATTCACCATTCATTCCTAATTAAATAAATTGAATTAATTTCAATGATATTTAATTATTTATTTTATGATATTTAACATAAATTCTCCCAAATTCTCGATACCTCAAATTACAAAACAAAATTAATTTCAAAGTCTGAAAAAATAGCTTTAATATGAAAAAAAATCGCAATGATTCACTCAGCCAGTCTGAACTTATTGAATATTGAAAATTATTCATTTGTTTCCGCTGGCTAACGTCAACAATTTTACTACGCACCACAAAGGGGCATCATTTTATCACAAAATGACTTCCAAACGTTTCAATCCTCAATTTAACTCATTAAACTTATAGTCGAGGAGATGTAACGCTTATTTTCTTAACTCATTCACTATCAATTTCACTAATTAAATTAATTTACAAACGATAAAAGTTACTATGAACTTCAAAATAAATTTTGAAGCGCGAAAAAATTCTTCCACAATGAAAAAAAAATTGTTGAATTCCATTGAGCGGATCCGAAGACATAAAACATTGAAAATTATTTCCTTTTCCTCTATCCAACGTCAACAATTCTGCGGCGCACAACAAAGGGGCGTCCCTTTATTTCTAAATGACTTCCACACGTTTCAATACTCTATCTACCACCAAACTAATAGTCGAGGGGATGTAATAATTATTTTCCCGAATCATTAATTATCAATTTCCCCAAATGAATTACAGTAAAAAAAAACCAAGATAACGACGTAAAACGCCCACATAAAACCATCAATATCTTCTACCCCACCGATACGATTGGGCCAAATCAAAATTCATTTTGAAGCCCGAAAGACCACCTCCAAAATGAAAAAAAAATTGTTGAATTTCACTCAGCGGATCGGAAGATATAAAACATTGAAAACTATTCCTTTTCCTCTGTCCAACGTCAACAATTCCGCGGCGCACAACACATACCCGTTATGTCCCCAAAAAATCGTCTCCGCCTTTGTAATTACTGGCCAATCAACCCGCTCGCCCCTCGCCCATTGTTCGTACAGATGAGAAAATGTCCACTCACCTCGAGACAGTAAAAAACAAAAGAACAGAACGGAATAGAAACCGATGTTTACGGTGAAACAGCCGAAGCGCTAGTGAATCGAGTCGATGGGGAGCTCCTAAATTATACCCAGTCTGTTGTTCGATTCGAGACTCCGGAGTCTCTCGAACACTACTCACCCATCTGACGCGCAATGAAACTCAACCGCTTCCTGAAACACCGAGGCACATGATCCGCTACCACATGCAACGAGAGCCTCTGCACATGCTCGCGTCAAATTACATACATGTGTAAGTGCGTTGAATGAAAACTGAGTTTATCTTCGAACGAACTCCGCTCGGCGAGAAAAAAAAGGCGTTATCGTGTCACGTGTCTGGTCAGCATCCCTATCAGTTATTTCAATGGTCAGTCTGAGTCACATGTTTATATAATGGATCTTGTGACTGTGATTATCTAAATATTATCGGATTCAACCCACATTTGATACGCAGTGGCTATTGTTTTAAAGAATTTTGTTATCGTTTTGGGTTACAAACGGTTCGTTGACGAAACTCGGCGGAAAATCGAGTCATTCTTGATGATGGACGAAATAATTCAGTTGATAATTCAGTTGTCATTATTTTTCGCGATTTTTAGCGAAAATTATTCTGCTCAAGAAATTGGAAACGATTTTTACATTGAGAGATCGGGAAGAGCGGGTCGAGAAATGACGTGCTAGAGCCTCTAAACATGACAAATGTCTCTAAAGCTGATATCTGTTTTCAATTGAAAAGGAGAGTTGTGACATCATTGTCTAGGAGGACAATGGGGTCTAGGAGTATGTATAGAACATTG